AATGCTGGTGCCGTCTGCTGTCTCTTGCGACATATTTTACGTTTCTCGAAACTAGCAAAAAGAAATAAGCTAATTAGCTACTGAAACACCACCAGTCTTTACCCGAATCTTTTTTCCCGAATTCAGCCACAAGGTGGGAAAGTCATTAAAAATCTGCATACGGCAATTAACTGCAAGTACTTTGTGAATCGTTCCACTGAAGGAACGAATCAACGTCCACCGCAGTCGAAAGACGGACAACCAAAGATATATTTACATACATGGAAATGCAGCGATATTTATGTATGTATGTACATCTACCTACAAATAAGTAAATACATATTGAAGTGTACGGGGCAGCATTTATGAGTATGTATTTATATATGTATTAGCTTGCATGCCTGTATGTTTGAAGACATGAAGGGCCGCAAAAATATTTTAGAAGGAAAGATAAGGGGTAAGTAGAAAGATGGAATCAGTGATATTTTTGTAGATCAGTTTTTTTGGGCTGATATTAGATAAGCTTCCCTCCTAAGCGCCTTATCTGCAATGATTAGGGCAGTATGCATTTTATAAAAAAAATCTTAAATTTGGTCTTTTTCTTATAAAAAAGGAATAAGGGAACATTTTTTTAACGGAAAATAACCGATTTTTTATTTATGTTGTAAACTAGACGTCCTCACACAGCATGTTCGAGAGCAAGATAAGCTTTTTGTGGAGGGTGAAATAAATTTTTATGAAATATTAAATTTTAAATAAAAATGTCACAATCTTATTAAGTCATTGTACTGGTTAACGAAAAGAACTTTTAAAGCTGCCTCAACGAAACGACACAGAGCGAATACATTGACGTTGAGCACAACTGTTTTAGACATTGCTACTTCTAGGCCTCAAAAATACTGAAAAAACTGCAAATCAATAAAAAAATCCGTGAAGTTTTGAAAATATTCTACATAATAAAATACGAAAACGAAATACGATACCAAAAAGTCCAAGAAAATTGCAAATTTTTCCGAAAAATAAAGAGAAATCCCAAGAAAATCTAGAAAAGTGCCTAAAAATGATCAAATGTCTTAAAGTCGCGAGTATCATTTTTGTCAATGCCTATATATGTATCTAAGACCTCAATGTGGTAATCGTGCAGAGAAATTTTCCACAGACTCTATACGATCCCTTGGAAACCGCCTCCCTTCACTAGTTCCTTGGGCTAAAACTTTGGTCTTGATTAAAGTCCAGCTAAAATTGAGCAAGTTCCTTTAAAAAAAACCCGACAGTAATGGTACAACAACGAGCTTCACCATCCACAGCGCCATAAGCATGTATACTTATGGCTCCAAACTCGACTAAGAGGTCGGACGAGGAGTCTTCTCCCCAGAGTTGGAATTAGAAACGTCGGTTCGGAGTTCGCTCGCCACCCAATTAAAAGACCTAAAGAAAAAATAAAGATTTTCCTCAGCTCTGACCCCTCGGCCCGCCCCCTCTTTTAAGTGCGCCACTGTCGCATAGATGTTGTTGTCGTCAATACAACTTAAACACAAATCTTTATAAACAACCGACAAGCGAGCGCGTCGTCGTGGACAATTTGTCAGCTATTCGCCAGGTAGCGCATATTAGTAAAGGAATGATCAGACTTTATGTTCGAACTGGGAATTAACAAAACGGAACTTAAAAATGCTGCAACGCCACTTAAAGTTTATAACACCGTTTAAGCTTAAAACTGGCTGCTTGCTTACTAGCTGACTCGCTGGCTAACTCCATGACCGCGCTGGCGGCCGAGTGCTCGCCTGAATGACTATTTCAGTGGCTGAATTTTGTGGTTGTTGTCGCTGTATAGATATGGCTGGCTGACTTGCTGGCGACGTGCATATATTATGTGTAGAACTTAAGTTGTGGAAAATATGTGCTTTTAGTCATTTTCTTGTAAATCATTTCAAAGCATTTTTACTTTGGTCATCTACCTACCTACCTTTATGCTCGTTGCATTTTATGCGAAACGACAAAAATCTCTTTGAACTTGCCGAATTGTGGTAAGCAAGCAGTGAGTGGCGATGGGCGTGGTAAATTTAGTTTGCAATTTCATAATGACAACAACAACAACCACTAAGGAAGAGTATAATATTGCCTACATATGTGTAGCCAGGCATATGCATTGTGCATATGTACATATATAGATACATATTTCCGAAGATCTGCGTATGTAAAGACAATAAATACAGAACAAATAGTAGTTCATATGTACAAAGTTTGGAGTACCATCGAAAGGTGACCATCACTAATGAAAAATAAAAGAATTTTTGGAAAGAAGTGTTTTCAATTTTGTATTTCAAATAGTTTCTTTGCGTGAATTTTTCCGGAGAAGGCGACTCTACAACGGAAATTTCATTTATACGTTTAACCCTTTGTCTACCGGCCGGGTCCAATGTATTTATTTACTTGAAAGAGATATTTTTGCTTTGCTAAAACCAATAACTAGGGGTGGATGTGACAGTGTAACAGTTTCAACTATATTATGAAAACACGTGAGTACCTATACTAAGTTTTATCACAATCGGTGGAATTTTTGTATGTTAACGTAATTTTATATAGATGGGAGGCGGGCGTGACGTGGACCAACATTAAAGATGATCGGTTGTGTAAAATATATAACTAAATTTTGCACAAATACTAAATATTGTTGCAATTGTACTAAATTTGATATACAGTATTGACCAATACAATAGCACCCCCATTTCAAAGTGATATTGTTTCCCACTCATGTTTACAGTTTATTCTCTAGCACAACGCATAAAAACCCAACGCAGAAAAAAAATGCAACGAATTTTCAACCAAATTTCAAACTTTTTTCTCAGAAGTGCTAGAATTTTTTGAGTACATAGTTTTAAAGCCCATTCAATTTTAGTCATAGTGGTTAAAATGATAGGATCCAAACCAAATTAGTATGGTACCACCTCTGAGACACCGCCTTTCCGATGCAAAAATTATTATCGAAATCGGTTGACATGATCCAAAGTTATGCGATAACATACATAAAAAATAAAAGTCGGTTAAAAATAAATTGTGTTTAACCGTTATATGGAAGCAAATGCAACTAAAAATTCTAAAATTCGAGGGTAATTTTTAGCCACTTGAAACTTTCACATTGTTAGACTATAATTTAATGGGCTTTAAAACTACCGACTCAAACAAATTCTTACACTTCTGAGAAAAAAGTTTGAAATTTAGGTAAACATTTTTTGCATTTGTTTGTAGTCTTTTAAAAAATTCAAAGCTTGGCATTATATGGGTTTTGTTAGAGAATGAACTGTATTTTAACTGAAAACTCTTAAAAATTAATAATTAAACATAAATGGCAAACAATATCACTCTCAAATGGTGGTGCTATAGATATGGCCACTACTGTATAAAAAATATGTTTTCAGCTGACAGTTCTATCTCATATGATTTTGATCAAATTTTAAATTTTTCTTGACATATACATACCTAAAAACGCTCTGTGCAATATTTTGTTGGTCTGCAACAAACCTTCTATTAGGCTTTGAGGAATTTTTTTCACGTTGAAATATGCGTTTCATTAGGTTACATAATGAAAGAGTTAAGACTTATTGAATTTTGAAGGGTTTCATATTTCAACGTGAACTTTTCAGCTTGAGTTTAAAATTACAATAAAAACATTTTCATTCGTTTTTTTTTTTTTAAATAGATCAAGTGCCTAGTGTGGCACAAAAGCTCTTAACATCACAACCTGAAAACAAAGAGACCTGATTTTTTTTTTTTTGAAATCGGTTTATATTTATCCGTGCCATTTATTTCGACGTGTGAATAGCCGGGAAGACCTTTGTGTGACACTGAGCGCGAATTATTTAAGATAAAAATAAAGAATAATTTGGAATAAAATATTACGTATATTTGAAAACATTATTTTATTACTACTCATGCATTTGATTTCTGATGTTTCTCAATTTGACAGCCTTTCCGAAGTATATTGTATTGCCACGTCTGACACGCTCTTAAGAATATTTCTCTTCAGAAGTCTTCAAGAACTAAAATCTTGCCTCTTGTATTTGATTTTTAATACTTGTTTGCTGCCGGTGCTAGGCATTTCCTTAAACATAAGAGAAGTGTGCTCAAAATGGCAGCACAAAAAAAATTGCTAACAAAGCATTTTTT